TTAGTGTTATTAAAAAACGATTCACTAGGGAGCCAATGGACATGTTTGAGATAGAATTGGAGCCCAAGGCAAATAACAGCGAAATTTTAGGCTCAACATGCTCGGCGGCCAAAAGGTCAAAGTTGAGCTACCACTACGAACTACCGATATAGTGCAATGTCATCGCTGCCAACAATTTGGGCATACGAAGAATTATTGCAGGCGTGCATTCGTATGCGTCAAATGTAGCGGGAAAACATCCTTCTACTGAGTGCAGCATAACGGCTAACGATCGGCCAAAATGCGCTAATTGTGAAGGCCCACATGCGGCTAGCTACAAAGGGTGTCAGTCCTTCAAGGATGCCTGCAAGCAAAAAGAGTCTGAGAGCGTGGTCAAAGCCAATGTCCTACTTGCTCAGCTAGGACAGCCAACATTGCCAGTTATGCGTAGTCGCCAAAGAAAACGGTCACAACAGCGACAGCAGCAGCCGCCGAAATCGGTACAGCAGCAAGATCAACGTCAACGCTCAAAGACGCGCCAACGGGTACATATTGATCAGCAGCAACAACAACAACAAAACAACAAACTGTGAACTTTGCTGCAAATTCTTATGCGTCGGCCTTGCGTTCTGGCTTGCCGGATATGCATTCGCAAAGCAGCAACAACAGAAGCTAAAGCGGCAGACAGCCCAACAGCAGCATCGCCAATCACGCCCTAAGCAACAACAACTCCCGACTCGCAGGCAAATGGATGGTCAACAAACGCTGGCACGCCAGCAAAATAGAAGCCGCAGTTGCAGTACGCGACGGAGCGCTACTAACTTAAACACAAACTGCGACATTGGTCAAAAACTGGACACTCTTATCACTTTAATGACTGAAGATCGTTTGAGAGCCAACTCCAACGTTGAAAACAAGCTAGATAAACTTCTGAACTTACTTACCAACTTGACATCTTGCCTAATGGCAAAGGAGCAAGTTACTAGCAAACAAAATGTTTAAACAACCATATACCTAGCACAGTCCGTCAAGATAGCAGTAATTACCGCCAGATTCAAACGGGCTCAAAATCGCCCTCATGGAATGCATGTGGGTTGCGAACAAAATGTTAGAAATGGAGGCATTCATCTATCAGAACAATATTGACATCATGATCATAGTTGAAACTCACCTGCGCGGCACAGACGAACTCACGATCGACGGCTACTATGCATATCAAGCACATCACCCATCTAATACGCGACGAGGAGGCGCAGCTATACTGGTCAAGCACAGTCTACAGCATATCGCTCTTCCTCTCACTAGCGCTATATCAATGCAGTGCGCGGCAACAAAAATCACTCTGCTTAATGGGTCTGCTATTAACATCGCAGCAGTATATTGCCCGCCCTGATTGAACTCGAAGATGAGCTGTTTGCTGCTCTTCGTGAGCTCGGCAACAAGTTCATCATTGCAGGAGATTGGAATGCGAAAAGTCATTGGTGGGGCAATGCTAGATCCTGCAGACGAGGTGGTAATCTTCTCAGATATGTACAGCAAAATAATTGTGAGATTCTTGCAACTGGGTCCTCAACACACTTCCCGTACAATGCTAGACAATCGCCGTCAGCAATAGACTTTGCTGTCTATAAGGGACTGCAGAGAGAACTCCTACAGATAAGCGCTACACACGACCTTGGCTCTGATCATCTCCCTCTATTAATCGAACTTCTTGAAACCCCGGCATTTAACAAGTCAAGGTGCTATCTACTACCACTTAACGCGAGTGTTGCTCGCTTTCAAGCCTGGCTAAACCAGCATGTACTGCTGGATACAGAAATCCACTCAGCTGCAGATATTGAGGATGCCACAGATATTCTTGAGCGTAATATTCGAGCAGCAGCACAATATGCAACAAACTCTCACGCAATTCAATACCACCAACGAGCGCAAAACCAGTGCCCACTCAGCAGGTCTCTGGAATTAATGATCAAGGCCAAAAGACTGCTCAAACGTCATTTTCTTGTGAACCGACACCCATTAGCCAAAAGAATTCATGACAGTCTCGCAAACCAGGTCAGAAGAACTTTAAAAGAAGCCAAGGAGAGACGTCTGAATAGCTTGCTTGAATCTATAGATCCTAGTGACCGCTACAACTTTCAAAAGCTGTGGCGACTAACAAACGGCATTAAACGGCAGCCTGCGCCAAATGTGCCAGTTAAAAAGTTCATTCAACCTGGCAGCAGCGCAGAAGACAGCAACGCGTGGTGTAAAACTACGCAAGAAAAAGCGGAAGCGTTTGCTCAAAATTTAGAAGAGAGATTCAAGCCTATTATTACTGCCTCAACAGCTGACAGAGAGCACATCTCGAGTCAACTACAGCTACCTCCAACGCACGCAGAGATGCATTTTCGGCCAATAACAGATGCTGAGGTAATAGCAGAAATCAAGGCGCTTAAAACGTAAAAAGTCTCCTGGGCTTGATACAATTGACAACCGGACTATAAAGGCCTTGCCGTTAGTTGCTCTCCAGTACCTTAGCCTCATTTATAATAGCATACTGCGCTTGGGCTACTTTCCTAGCAAATGGAAGTGTGCTGTGGTCATTATGATTCCTAAGCCTGGCAAGCCGCAAGAGCAACTAAATTCATACAGACCAATAAGTCTGCTATCAGGTCTTTCAAAAATATTCGAGCACTTGCTGCTTAGACGAATGTACGAATCAGATGGTTTTATACATGCTATTCCAAAGCATCAATTTGGCTTTCGCAGCGAACACGGAGCAGACCAGCAGATTGGCCGAGTCACGCAATTTATACTCGAAGCATATGAAAGGAACCAGTACTGTGCTGCTACATATATGGATATCCAAGAGGCCTTTGATCGAGTATGGCATGATGGGCTACGATATAAGCTACGGATGATTCTGCCGTATGCTACATACAATGTAGTTAGCCACTACCTCGCCGAGAGAACATTCATGGTAGAATGCAGCGGGGGAATCCGATCTAGCACTAAGCGAATTGCGGCTGGAGTGCCGCAAGGAAGTGTACTTGGTCCTGTGCTTTATACGCTATATACAGCTGACATGCCCATCCAGGACCAATAAGTCCAACAACTGGATATGTGAGGCATATGTACCGCAAAGAAACATTGCTTGCAACATATGCAGACGATACCGTCATACTAACTGTAGGCAGAACGCAGACAGATGCAGTTAATCGAATGAACGAGTATCTCGAAGTCTTGTCTGCTTGGGCCACTAAATGGTGTATAACAATAAACGCAACCAAGACGGTGCACGTCATGCACACTTTGCGCAGGCTTCAAATGCAGACAGATGCCCAAACTGCACACATAGGCGGGCAAGCGCTACTCAACCAAACGGTGCACACTTACCTCGGTGTAAAATTGGATACACAGCTGCAATTTAATAGACACATATCTGCTGTAATTAACAAATTGAGAACGAGGTTAAAAAAATGCAATGGCTGATTGATAGCACAAGCAAACTACCCCTCAAAACAAAAGTTATAATTTATAAACAACTCATCGCGCCAATTTGGCAATATACATTGCCCGTCTGGGGACCGCTTGCAAGTCAAACACAAATCGATCGCATACAGACTATGCAAAATAAAATTCTCAGATCGATCGCAGGTGCACCATGGTACGTGCGCAATAGCACCATAAGCAATGATCTGGAAGTTGCAAGTGTAGATGACGTCTACAATGAGGCATGTAGCAAATATGTGCAGCGCCTTTTGAATCACAGCAACTGCCTGGCTAAAGACCTAGCAATCAACCCATATGTACCGCAGCGGCTAACTAGGGAGAGGTACAGCCGAATGCTACAAAGACATATGCCCCATGTGCAGCGACAGCAAGAGCAGCAGCTGCTAGAAGCTCAACAACGAATGGCAGAAATTGAGGCACACCGACCTATACATGGAAGATCTGTTGAACGGCCACTAACTGCTCTGCAGCAAAGCATTTTGGAGCGCCTTAGTAGGCAAAGAAGCTATCAACAACAGCGCGCCGAACAACGAGAAGCAGAACGCGCACAGCGGAGAATAGAGAGGCAACAAAGAGAAGAGCAACATAGACAGGAAATGCTTCGAGAACATCAAGAGTCGATACAAATATATGCTCAAATATATGCGCAAAGAGAGCAGGCACTACAGCGGCTAGAAGAGCGACTACAAGCAAGACGTCTGGCAAGGCAAGCGTACTTCGCTATGCCACCGGCCCAACAAGAAGCCGTGCCGATAACGAGTATTTTTATATTTCCAGCGAACTCTGCAGCAGCCAACCGCAGCGCAATGGGCATTTCTCCAACGACGAGCACCCACACAAACACAACAACAGCACAGGCAACCAATACGGCGTCGGCTATCAGCTTGTCTGTGAGGCACACAATTGACGGCATACCAGATGTGCAAAATGGCGAAGGATTTACTGATCTCGTTATCATGGTTACGTTTAGGTGCATTCAGCGCTCAAATCAGACAACTCGACCAGAGCAGCTTCCACGTCAATGGCGTCTGATCGAACGGCAACTGCAACAAAGATTGAGAATCAGAAGATATGCTGCAAGAAGCTATTATCTGATGCATACTACCAGACGACAGCGGCTAGCACGTTTGCAGCAATTCAGACTCCAATATCCAGCACAGTGGCGATCAATCTGGCGACGGCTGCTCCTGCGAACTTTGGACTCGAATTTGTGGTACCTAGATCAGCGCTGGTCAACATGGCGACTCCAGTTAATCAGGCTGCAAAATATATTCCGCTGGTTGACCAACAGACGACATGGTGGTAGCAGCCGCTACTTATCTGACCGGTAACAACGGCTGAGATGCAAGGATTGCATGTTTATAATCCACTAATTCAAACAAAGATCAACTACTCACACTTCGAAGCAGTCGTTATGATCAAATTGGCTATATCGTTTAGCGCCTTCTGAAGAGTGCAAATATGCACATCGTCCACCTTCTCCAACAAATGCAGCACGAAGGAAACCTGAAAAGAAGACCATGCAGCATAAATATAAGATTATTAAAATTAAATTCAAATTTAACTTACCTTTGAAAGACACAATAGCTAAAAGCTGTGCCTGTTAACAGCGGAAAACTTGTTTACCTTTTTAATGTTAAATTGTCCTAGTGATGGGACTTGCTAATATGTGCCTGTAAATAACATAATGTTAAATTGTAAGTTAACAGAAATGTTAAAATGTAGGCGCTAAAAAATTCAATTAAAATATGTCAAATATTAATGTTGAATAAAGAATACCAACACTAGCTGCACCCCCCCTCCTGCTATGCAGGTGCGGATTGGTGCAATTTGAATGTTGGTCTAGTGCGTGTGTCAACGAGCATACGGAAAGTCAAAAGAAGCTAAAGCGGCAGACAGCCCAACAGCAGCATCGCCAATCACGCCCTAAGCAACAACAACTCCCGACTCGCAGGCAAATGGATGGTCAACAAACGCTGGCACGCCAGCAAAATAGAAGCCGCAGCTGCAGTACGCGACGGAGCGCTACTAACTTAAACACAAACTGCGACATTGGTCAAAAACTGGACACTCTTATCACTTTAATGACTGAAGATCGTTTGAGAGCCAACTCCAACGTTGAAAACAAGCTAGATAAACTTCTGAACTTACTTACCAACTTGACATCTTGCCTAATGGCAAAGGAGCAAGTTACTAGCAAACAAAATGTTTAACAACCATATACCTAGCACAGTCCGTCAAGATAGCAGTAATCGCAGATCAAACGGGCTCAAAATCGCCTCATGGAATGCATGTGGGTTGCGAAACAAAATGTTAGAAATGGAGGCATTCATCTATCAGAACAATATTGACATCATGATCATAGTTGAAACTCACCTGCGCGGCACAGACGAAATCAAGATCGACGGCTACTATGCATATCAAGCACATCACCCATCTAATACGCGACGAGGAGGCGCAGCTATACTGGTCAAGCACAGTCTACAGCATATCGCTCTTCCTCTCACTAGCGCTATATCAATGCAGTGCGCGGCAACAAAAATCACTCTGCTTAATGGGTCTGCTATTAACATCGCAGCAGTATATTGCCCGCCCCTGATTGAACTCGAAGATGAGCTGTTTGCTGCTCTTCGTGAGCTCGGCAACAAGTTCATCATTGCAGGAGATTGGAATGCGAAAAGTCATTGGTGGGGCAATGCTAGATCCTGCAGACGAGGTGGTAATCTTCTCAGATATGTACAGCAAAATAATTGTGAGATTCTTGCAACTGGGTCCTCAACACACTTCCCGTACAATGCTAGACAATCGCCGTCAGCAATAGACTTTGCTGTCTATAAGGGACTGCAGAGAGAACTCCTACAGATAAGCGCTACACACGACCTTGGCTCTGATCATCTCCCTCTATTAATCGAACTTCTTGAAACCCCGGCATTTAACAAGTCAAGGTGCTATCTACTACCACTTAACGCGAGTGTTGCTCGCTTTCAAGCCTGGCTAAACCAGCATGTACTGCTGGATACAGAAATCCACTCAGCTGCAGATATTGAGGATGCCACAGATATTCTTGAGCGTAATATTCGAGCAGCAGCACAATATGCAACAAACTCTCACGCAATTCAATACCACCAACGAGCGCAAAACCAGTGCCCACTCAGCAGGTCTCTGGAATTAATGATCAAGGCCAAAAGACTGCTCAAACGTCATTTTCTTGTGAACCGACACCCATTAGCCAAAAGAATTCATGACAGTCTCGCAAACCAGGTCAGAAGAACTTTAAAAGAAGCCAAGGAGAGACGTCTGAATAGCTTGCTTGAATCTATAGATCCTAGTGACCGCTACAACTTTCAAAAGCTGTGGCGACTAACAAACGGCATTAAACGGCAGCCTGCGCCAAATGTGCCAGTTAAAAAGTTCATTCAACCTGGCAGCAGCGCAGAAGACAGCAACGCGTGGTGTAAAACTACGCAAGAAAAAGCGGAAGCGTTTGCTCAAAATTTAGAAGAGAGATTCAAGCCTATTATTACTGCCTCAACAGCTGACAGAGAGCACATCTCGAGTCAACTACAGCTACCTCCAACGCACGCAGAGATGCATTTTCGGCCAATAACAGATGCTGAGGTAATAGCAGAAATCAAGGCGCTTAAACGTAAAAAGTCTCCTGGGCTTGATACAATTGACAACCGGACTATAAAGGCCTTGCCGTTAGTTGCTCTCCAGTACCTTAGCCTCATTTATAATAGCATACTGCGCTTGGGCTACTTTCCTAGCAAATGGAAGTGTGCTGTGGTCATTATGATTCCTAAGCCTGGCAAGCCGCAAGAGCAACTAAATTCATACAGACCAATAAGTCTGCTATCAGGTCTTTCAAAAATATTCGAGCACTTGCTGCTTAGACGAATGTACGAATCAGATGGTTTTATACATGCTATTCCAAAGCATCAATTTGGCTTTCGCAGCGAACACGGAGCAGACCAGCAGATTGGCCGAGTCACGCAATTTATACTCGAAGCATATGAAAGGAACCAGTACTGTGCTGCTACATATATGGATATCCAAGAGGCCTTTGATCGAGTATGGCATGATGGGCTACGATATAAGCTACGGATGATTCTGCCGTATGCTACATACAATGTAGTTAGCCACTACCTCGCCGAGAGAACATTCATGGTAGAATGCAGCGGGGGAATCCGATCTAGCACTAAGCGAATTGCGGCTGGAGTGCCGCAAGGAAGTGTACTTGGTCCTGTGCTTTATACGCTATATACAGCTGACATGCCCATCCCAGGACCAATAAGTCCAACAACTGGATATGTGAGGCATATGTACCGCAAAGAAACATTGCTTGCAACATATGCAGACGATACCGTCATACTAACTGTAGGCAGAACGCAGACAGATGCAGTTAATCGAATGAACGAGTATCTCGAAGTCTTGTCTGCTTGGGCCACTAAATGGTGTATAACAATAAACGCAACCAAGACGGTGCACGTCATGCACACTTTGCGCAGGCTTCAAATGCAGACAGATGCCCAAACTGCACACATAGGCGGGCAAGCGCTACTCAACCAAACGGTGCACACTTACCTCGGTGTAAAATTGGATACACAGCTGCAATTTAATAGACACATATCTGCTGTAATTAACAAATTGAGAACGAGGTTTAAAAAAATGCAATGGCTGATTGATAGCACAAGCAAACTACCCCTCAAAACAAAAGTTATAATTTATAAACAACTCATCGCGCCAATTTGGCAATATACATTGCCCGTCTGGGGACCGCTTGCAAGTCAAACACAAATCGATCGCATACAGACTATGCAAAATAAAATTCTCAGATCGATCGCAGGTGCACCATGGTACGTGCGCAATAGCACCATAAGCAATGATCTGGAAGTTGCAAGTGTAGATGACGTCTACAATGAGGCATGTAGCAAATATGTGCAGCGCCTTTTGAATCACAGCAACTGCCTGGCTAAAGACCTAGCAATCAACCCATATGTACCGCAGCGGCTAACTAGGGAGAGGTACAGCCGAATGCTACAAAGACATATGCCCCATGTGCAGCGACAGCAAGAGCAGCAGCTGCTAGAAGCTCAACAACGAATGGCAGAAATTGAGGCACACCGACCTATACATGGAAGATCTGTTGAACGGCCACTAACTGCTCTGCAGCAAAGCATTTTGGAGCGCCTTAGTAGGCAAAGAAGCTATCAACAACAGCGCGCCGAACAACGAGAAGCAGAACGCGCACAGCGGAGAATAGAGAGGCAACAAAGAGAAGAGCAACATAGACAGGAAATGCTTCGAGAACATCAAGAGTCGATACAAATATATGCTCAAATATATGCGCAAAGAGAGCAGGCACTACAGCGGCTAGAAGAGCGACTACAAGCAAGACGTCTGGCAAGGCAAGCGTACTTCGCTATGCCACCGGCCCAACAAGAAGCCGTGCCGATAACGAGTATTTTTATATTTCCAGCGAACTCTGCAGCAGCCAACCGCAGCGCAATGGGCATTTCTCCAACGACGAGCACCCACACAAACACAACAACAGCACAGGCAACCAATACGGCGTCGGCTATCAGCTTGTCTGTGAGGCACACAATTGACGGCATACCAGATGTGCAAAATGGCGAAGGATTTACTGATCTCGTTATCATGGTTACGTTTAGGTGCATTCAGCGCTCAAATCAGACAACTCGACCAGAGCAGCTTCCACGTCAATGGCGTCTGATCGAACGGCAACTGCAACAAAGATTGAGAATCAGAAGATATGCTGCAAGAAGCTATTATCTGATGCATACTACCAGACGACAGCGGCTAGCACGTTTGCAGCAATTCAGACTCCAATATCCAGCACAGTGGCGATCAATCTGGCGACGGCTGCTCCTGCGAACTTTGGACTCGAATTTGTGGTACCTAGATCAGCGCTGGTCAACATGGCGACTCCAGTTAATCAGGCTGCAAAATATATTCCGCTGGTTGACCAACAGACGACATGGTGGTAGCAGCCGCTACTTATCTGACCGGTAACAACGGCTGAGATGCAAGGATTGCATGTTTATAATCCACTAATTCAAACAAAGATCAACTACTCACACTTCGAAGCAGTCGTTATGATCAAATTGGCTATATCGTTTAGCGCCTTCTGAAGAGTGCAAATATGCACATCGTCCACCTTCTCCAACAAATGCAGCACGAAGGAAACCTGAAAAGAAGACCATGCAGCATAAATATAAGATTATTAAAATTAAATTCAAATTTAACTTACCTTTGAAAGACACAATAGCTAAAAGCTGTGCCTGTTAACAGCGGAAAACTTGTTTACCTTTTTAATGTTAA